CTCGTTGTCAACAACAGGGCTGTGATTCTCACACTGAATCGTTCAGTCGATCTTTCCAACACGGCCTTGTGCATAACCACCTATTCTGTAGAATCCGTTCTGGGCACCCCTGGCTGACACAGGGACCGGAAGGCCCGTGCAATGGCAAAAGGCGCGCTTGGCAGTGCAAGTTGATTGACTTCTGGATCCAAAAAATGTTGAGGCTTTGAAGGGGGAAATCCCCACCAGCGCAAGTGTCTGACTTCCTTAAATCTGCTGGCTAACCGGCGATGCAGCAGTCAATCGAACGGGAAAAAAAGGACCGCTATGTAGAGTCTGTTCCATTCACATGGCTTGTTAAAGTTGATGCAAGAGCGCGTGTGGTGGAGTGTGTGCAACCCATGTGACACCTAACTTGCACCCAGCACACAACTTGTAGAGACTCATGTGATTTGGACTTCTGACTTCTGCTTGGTTGCCACTGGGTTCCCTCAGTGCATGCGTCTGTCAATGTCTATCAATGTGATTCCAACTGGCTTTGTCAGTAGATTGCGTAGATCATCATTGTCAATCGAACATGTGCAATGCGACTGTAGGGTGCAAGCTTCTGTCAGGCTGCTGAAAATGCTGCGGCGCATCGTCTGCAAAGTGAAGATTTTTCTGGCCATTGCAATGTTGGTAACTTCCTCCTGAAGTGATGCTCTTCCTTGGCTCTTTGAGTTTTTCCAAAGTATTCAACTCCGAAGATTTTTCCGACGGCGTCTCTTTTTGATGACTCGGGGCTCACGACCTCAGATGCTGCGCCGCTTTCGGGCACTCAAGGTGAGGAGATCAACGCGTCGAGTTCCCCATCAGCCTCGCGCCGTCATTCTCATGGACCGAATTTGGCACAGTTGGGTGTGACCCAAAACTTCTTTCCTTTGCTAGTCAGCAACCCATTACCCTTTGCTAACCTTTGCTACGCATGCTACGCTATGCCGCCCTATACAGTGCGCTTGGATGAAGCTGAAATACCATCCCAATGGATCCACCATTTCCATGGCCGCCATTTTGGCAGATTCAATCCCCATGGCTGGTCGGAAACTCCCATGTTTTCCAAGTTGTCAGCAACTCATGTCCCAGGCGTCTCCCAGAGCACCACCCAGGCTTTGGCCAACATGGACAGTCACAGCCCAAAGCATGTTGAACGATGGAGCTAAGCATCCCAAGTATGGATGGAAGATGGAAAATATGAGTTAAACCACTAACCAGTTAACAATTGCAGCGTTTTTTCGCCCTCGAATAGACAGGAAGAAAAATACCCCTGCAATTCAAAGGGTGGTTAGCCACCTCAAAAAACGAGATAAGACTGTAAGACTCGAGTGATCTGTTCCCATACATTTGGCACTGGATCGAACAGCCGAACAAGTCGATCTTTGTGGCCTCTACACAGGCGCCTCCATGACCGCATCTGAGTTTCCTCCTGGTGGCGTGAAACTGCAGAGACTTGGTCGCTTGGTTCGGTGGGAGGCGATCGTTTCTTGTCGTGAAAATATCAAAACTAAAGTAGTTGTGTGTCTTATCGGGTACGCTCGTAACATGTACAAACTGCCCTAAGCAAAATATGTTTAATTTGTTCTAGTCACTGGCCCTGATAAATTGCCCAAAATAATAGTTTTGGGAGCCTATCGATTATTGGGTCTTAAAAGGTGGTCCTAAATAGGTTCCATATCTCCAGGCTGAGGCTGCATTTTGAAATGATTTTGCAGGTTCGGGATATACAGCAAGATCCAAGTGAAAAAGTCAGAAGGCCTGATTTTTTTTTTGAATATGTGTCGGACAGTTTATTCTTCATCCCAGAAATCAAGGCACGAGCTCATTCGGGGGGGCCTTTGTTTCACAAGGCAGACGAGCATTTTGCATGCAGAATGTCTCTGTCAAAAGGGTTTTCAAAGTTCAGAGCGTCTTTTCCAAAACTTGGACGAACAAAACAAGGGGTTGACATTGAGAACATCTGCCATCATCTATTTCAGGGGCAATATATATGTCAAACAAAAAGGATTCAATGTTGACAAAATCTTTGACAGAAAAGGGTCCATGTGGGGAGCATCATGTGAAACAAGAAAAGGTTTCGCATTAAGAACAGTTGTCACAAAAGGCATCCATGTGGGGGCATTGTGTCAAACAAAAAAAGTTCAATGTCGACAACATCTTTGACATGAAAGGCATTGGTTTTGGGGGCATCAGGTTTCAACAAAAAATAGGTTTCACGCGGAGAATTAAAAAGTCTTTGCTGAAAGGCATCCATTTCGGGGCATTTTGCTTTAAAAGAACTGGCTTCACATTGAGAACATCTTTCATAAAGGCATCCATTTTGGGGGCATTGTGTCAAACAAAAAAAGTTCAATGTCGACAACATCTTTGACATGAAAGGCATTGGTTTTGGGGGCATCAGGTTTCAACAAAAAATAGGTTTCACGCGGAGAATTAAAAAGTCTTTGCTGAAAGGCATTCATTTCGGGGGCATTTTGCTTTAAAAGAACTGGCTTCACATTGAGAACATCTTTCATAAAGGCATCCATTTTGGGGGCATTGTGTCAAACAAAAAAAGTTCAATGTCGACAACATCTTTGACATGAAAGGCATTGGTTTTGGGGGCATCAGGTTTCAACAAAAAATAGGTTTCACGCGGAGAATTAAAAAGTCTTTGCTGAAAGGCATCCATTTCGGGGGCATTTTGCTTTAAAAGAACTGGCTTCACATTGAGAACATCTTTCATAAAGGCATCCATTTTGGGGGCATTGTGTCAAACAAAAAAGGTTCAATGTTCACAACATCTTTGACATGAAAGGCATTGGTTTTGGGGGCATCAAGTTTCAACAAAAAATAGGTTTCACGCTGAGAATTAAAAAGTCTTTGCTGAAAGGCATCCATGTCGGGTGCATTTTGCTTTAAAAGAACTGGTTTCACATTGAGAACATCTTTCATAAAGGCATCCATTTTGGGGGCATTGTGTCAAACAAAAAAGGTTCAATGTTGACAACATCTTTGACATGAAAGGCATTGGTTTTGGGGGGCATCAGGTTTCAACAAAAAATAGGTTTCACGCTGAGAATTAAAAAGTCTTTGCTGAAAGGCATCCATTTCGGGTGCATTCTGTTTCAGGCAAAACAGGTTTCAATGTTGAGAACATGCCTGTCAGAGAATGCATTCATTTCGGGGCGATAGTCCTGTACAAAAAAGTGGTGTCTTCGGTCATGAAGGGCATCCAGTTGGGGGCACTATGATTCAGCCAAAACGGGCTTTAATGTTGAGACCATGTCTGCCATGAAAGGCATCCCTCATCCATTTTTGGGGCGCGAGCTTTCCACGCAAAAAATGTTTCAATGTTGAAGATGTCTTCACAGTTGGGGGCTGGGGGCCAGTAGATTTTCACAAACATGGGCCACCTTACGGCAATCACATGCAAGATCAATCATCAAAAATTGTGGATCTCCACTTCACATTCCAGTCAACTAGACTGTTTTCAGATGAAACCACCGAAATCCCTGCGCTGGCACCCTGCAAAATGGAAGTCACCCTCATGATCTACGTCGATTGCAAATCCAAATATGTCCGAATGGTGACCACATTCCAAAGCCAGAGCAAGACCGAGAGATCATGTTTGAAGGTTGATCAATGCTCTTGGGTGCAACTCCACCAACCTCATGAGATTCAGCAGCCTATGCCCTACTTCCAGGTCCATCCCACTTCGTCTCCTGCCAAAGGAACAGCGGCCTCTTGATCCGCCATGGCCCGGCGCCACATCACAGGCTCAAAAGCGCTGCCGGACTAGTGGATGAAGTGGATTTTAAGATGTTTAAGGCACAAAACTTCTGGATGTCTTGACTAATTATTTACAAATCCTGACATGCATGACCGGCTGGGGTATAGCTGTTAACAACCATGTTGGATGTAGGAAATTTTGGGCTCCACAGGCACGTCCTGACCCCAAAGTTTCACTCATAACTAAGCCTCTTCCAAGGAGGAAACAAATCAGGTTTTAAGTCGGAGGAGAAACCCCGGCCCAAAAAAGTTTGAAGATGTTTCAAAATTCATTGGGAACCAATTCCGGGTCTTATCGACACGTGGATATAAAGGAAGTTTGGCACATGAACAGAGTAGGTTGGCCAAGAAAGTTACAGGCACTCACTGCCTCACTGGCTTGACGAGAGATCAGTTGCTGGATGTTGCTGGCAAAAGGCTTGAACACCAAAGTCGAACGGTTGACATGCGCATGACCAGAAGCAGCTGAGGTTGCCAAAAAGACAGAACACATCATAACACATGACACATAAATAAATCTAAATTATGAAAACAAATCATTGTTTTTGCGCCAAAAATTGCTGGGCAACACTATCAGAGGCCCTGACCTTGTGACTCTGGAAGTGATCCGATCCCAGACGCCAAGTCTGCAGACTTCGAGTACTGTGGGGGTCAAATCGAGACGCGCCCTGTTTGGACAGATTGGAAATTCGAAGCTCCGATTTCGGGTATAGATCTCAGATGATCTCAGTGAAACGGGAGATATTGATGATGATAGCTTGCGGCTCAATGCGATGCAGGGTCACGGGCTGGAAGATGCTGATATGCCTGCGAGTCAATGGAGACTTGGTGGAAAATGCAGAACTTTCTAAAGTGAATCAACCACAAATCCCACAGGCATACTAATGCAATTTGTTGGAAAAATGTTGCTATACTTCTGGGAGAAGCTGGCATGCGAATCCATTCCCAAACCCAAACTGCAACAAGTTGGGCAAAAACTCAAACGTCTCTTTATCGGTCAAACATGTTCTGAACAAAATCTGAACTGCAGAACTTTGAGAAACTCAAGCATGCCTCCACTTGCTGCCTCAGAAACAAAATCCTTGACAGTGGGAAAAAGACAAGGCCACAGGCCAGCTTTCCATCAAAATAATCCAAACATCTTGGTAAAGATTGAAACCGATTCGAGCATATCGCCTGTGAATGTCTTGGGGGGAAATTTTGGTCTCACAGCGCCTTTAATCAATTGGCCCGTGCTGTCGTTGGAATCGCTCCAGGTTGCGGCGACTCGCTCGGGTCTCTGCGTGCTCCGGACCATGCAGCTCCTGCAGAGAAGGCACCGAGCGGGCTGAAAGTTTTGTGGATCTCGGGGTGTGGAACACATGTGTTGGCAACGGGCTCAATGATTTCACGCTCGCGCCAGATTGCAAGCAAGCCTGAACTTGCAACACCGAACGCCATGATACCGAAAACAAAAAGATAGGAAAAATATGGAAAATTACAGTATCAGATTATCAGATCAAAAATTGTTCTTGTTGCAAAATCTAGATGCATGAATATACAGTGAAGATGTCCACTGATGGAATTCAACTAAAGGCGACCAAAACTTTCTGACGGACATTTGGGACTCCAAAATCCACAAGCAGCGACTACCACCTGGAGCCAGATGGTGTCATCGACTGTTCCCGAGTGACCCTTTGCAGAGGCCTCCAGGCCACGCAACTCGCGGAGATAGAGCTGATGGGCCTGGACGTGACACCGTAGCAGGTGGTGCATGGCAGTGGGTGGCCACCCGGGACCCGGGCTGATGACGCACCTTAGGACCTTGCGACCGCATCACTTGGAGCTTGCCATATTTCAATGTCGGTTGGGCATACCCAACGAGAATGTCACTAAACCCCGTCTAGAAAGCTTTCAAGACACATCTTTCAATGTATTTCAAATCGTTCCACAACACTTTTGCCAAAAGTGAGATCTCAACCACAACTATTCCACTTATTCGACTTCCATCACCCACAACTTCCCACATCAACATCCCCTGATGAGGTTGGTTCTCTGGTGGGCTTTGCCCGTGTGCCCGTGTGCCCGTGGATCAGGGTTGTGCCCGTGTGCCCGTGTGCCCGTGTGCCCGTGTGCCCGTGGATCGGGTTGTGCCCGTGTGCTTGTGTGCCCGTGGATCGGGTTGTGCCCGGGTGCCCGTGTGCCCGGGCCAGCGACAGGTCCAGAAGTCCAGAAGTGACATGCTTGCAGGCAGTTGCAGTCTGTCTTTTGATTCCCCAAACAGTTTGTCCACACTGAGGGGTTCTTACGGTAGGTGTAAAGGCAGGTGCCTGATCTGGGTGCTCCTCACTCTGGTCTGCGGCGTGTTACCTGTAAATTTCCGTATGGTGCGGCTCTTGTGACATGTTGAAATGCATTTCGACTGCCCAGGCTCGCGCAAAGTGTATGTCTGCGTTCTGGCCTCATCGACCTTCCTCCTCAACATCCTTCTCCTCAACATCAACATCTTCCTACTCAACATCAACATCATCATTTTCCTCTCCCTTGACACCAACTTCAATCGACTCCGCGGTACACAGCGGAAGTTCCAGCTAGGAATGTTTGATTGGTAATTAAAACTTCCCAGCTGGCATGTCATGACGATGTCCTAGGACTCATATGTCCCCCTGTGCCCATCTATCTGTGTATTGACATTTCTTTCTCCCTCTTTCTTTCTCTCTCTCTCTCTCTCTCTTTCTCTCTCTCTCTCTCTATCTCTCTCTTTCTCTCTCTCTATCTGTATCGCCGTTTCCCTTTCTACTACTTATTGATTTATCCTTTTGCCTATGCATCTATATGTCTGTGTGTCTGTTTTTCTATCCATCTACCTATCTACCTATCTGTTTGTCTGTCTGTCTGTGTGTCAACCGGTTGCTGCAGCGTGATGTCATCATAGCAGCATGAGCTCGTTGCCCGTCGTTGGAGACCTTGGTGTTTGTTTGACGTTCCTTCTTGTTGCATTGTTGCATGACCATGTGGTTGCCTTGTTGTTTGCATGCAACTTTGTTCCGCTGTGCTGTGATGCCTTGGTCTAATGTTAATTTCGACATGCGGCGTTTCGGCGCTGTCTGCTGTAGATGGCATGTCGCTGTCCTTGCCGTGTTGTTTGCGTGGAGCTTAATGTCGTTTTTTGCCTTGATCTCAAGTTAATTTCCACATGTGTTATTTTGGCTCCGTGTACCGTAGATTCCTCCTCTCCCTTTCTGCTTATCAATTTATCCTTTTGCCTATGTATCCATATGCCTGCGTGCCTGTCTTTCTATTTATCTACCTATCTATCTATCTGTTTGTCTGTCTGTCTGTGTCAAGCGGTTGCCGCAGCGTGATGTCATAGCAGCATGAGCTCGTTGCCCGTCGTTGTAGACCTTGGTGTTTGTTTGACGTTCCTTCTTGTTGCATTGTTGCATGACCATGTGGTTGCCTTGTTGTTTGCATGCAACTTTGTTCCGCTGTGCTGTGATGCCTTGATCTAATGTTAATTTTGACATGCGGCGTTGCGGCGGCGTCTGCTGTAGATGGCATGTCGCTGTCCTTGCCGTGTTGTTTGCGTGGAGCTTAATGTCGTTTTTTTGCCTTGATCTCAAGTTAATTTCCACATGTGTCGTTTTGGCCCGGTCTACCGTAGATTCCTCGTCTCCCTTTCTACTTTTGGATTTATCCTTTTGCCTATGTACCTATCTATGTATCTATGTATCTATGTATCCATGTATCCATGTACCTATGTATCTATCTATCTATGTATCTATCTATCTATCTTTCTATCTATCTATCTATGTATCTATGTATCTATGTATCTATGTATCTATGTATCTATGTATCTATCTATCTTTCTATCTATCTATCTATCGATCTATCTATCTATCTATCTATCTAATCTATCTATCTATCTAATTAATCTATCTAATTAATCTATCTATCTATCTGTCTACCCATCTACCTATCTACCTATCTACCTATCTACCTATCTACCTATCTACCTAACTACCTAACTAACTGACTGACTAACTAACTAACTAACTAACTCAGTAACTAACTAACTAACTAACTAACTAACTAACTAACTAACTAACTAACTAACTAACTAAGTAACTAACTAACTAACTAACTAACTAACTCAGTAACTAACTCAGTAACTAACTAACTAACTAACTAACTAACTAACTAACTAACTAGCTAACTACCTAACTAACAAACTAACTAACTAACAAACTAACTAACTAACTAAACTTACTAACTAACTAACTAACTAATTAACTAACTAACTAACTAACTAACTAACTAACTAACCTAACTAACTAACTAACTAACTAACTAACTAACTAACTAACTAACTAGCTAACTAACTAACTAACTAATTAACTAACTAACTAACTAACTAACTAACGAATTCGTCAAAATAATCTATCTATCTAATTAATATATCTAATTAATCAATCTATCTAATTAATCTATCTATCCAAATAATCTATCTACCTAATTAACCTATCTATCTAATTGATCTATCTATCTAATTAATCTATCTATCTAATTAATCTATCTATCTATCTATCTATCTATCTGTCTGTCTGTCTGTCTGTCTGTCTGTCTGTCTGTGTGTCAAGCGGTTGCCGCAGCGTGATGTCATAGCAGCATGAGCTCGTTGCCCGTCGTTGTAGACCTTGGTGTTTGTTTGACGTTCCTTCTTGTTGCATTGTTGCATGACCATGTGGTTGCCTTGTTGTTTGCATGCAACTTTGTTCCGCTGTGCTGTGATGCCTTGATCTAATAATATGTCGACATGCGGCGTTTCGGCGCTGTCTGCTGTAGATGGCATGTCGCTGTCTTTGCCGTGTTGTTTGCGTGCAGCTTAATGTAGATCCCAAGTTAGTTTCCACATGTGTCATTTTGGCTCCGTCTACCGTAGATTCCTTTATGTGGGCTCGCCGTTCTGCCGCCGCAGTGTTGTCATGATTCTGTCATGTTACCTGAGTTTCGTTGATTCCTCGTGTGCCCGTGTGCCCGTGCGTGTGCCCGTGTGCGTGTGTCCGTGGATTCCTCGTGTGCCCGTGTGCCCGTGTGCCCGTGGATTCCTCGTGTGCCCGTGTGCCTGTGTGCCCGTGTGCCCGTGGATTCCTCGTGTGCCCGTGTGCCTGTGCCCGGAGGCCCGTGAGGAGACCTATCTCCCCCTGATCCAAGCAGAACCGCCCCAAGCAACGCCACAACTCGAATGAGAAGCCGTCACCTCTGTGAGGGAGCCTGTCACCTCCAGAAGATCTGCGAGATTGTAGACGGAGCTGAGGGTGTCCGGATGCACGGGGCCCAGCTGACCTTCTCGCCCCGTCAGGGCCCTGCGATAAAGGCCCTCCGCCTGGCGCAGGGTTGTGGATGGATGTCAGCGGGGTGGCTTCCTATGCCGTGGCGAGATGAGCCTTGTGCTGTGATCCGCAACTGGTGTGAGGCAATGTGTTGTTGGTGCAGTGTGGCACATTGATTCTTCAAACACCAAAACCTGCAAATCTGATCTGCATAGGATGGGATGGTGGGAACCACGAAGCCAAGGTGAAGGCTTTTCTTGTACTGCGTGAAGCTGGCACACATGATCGATGCATCAGCCAAAGCTCTAAATAGAACCGAGCTACCAAGTCTCACTTCTTGGAAGACAATGTTGATCTACCCTTGCACGAAATGCATGTACTGCTGTTGAGATGCAACAACCCAGTCAAACGGATTATATACAGCCGAAGCCTGGATTCCGGAGAAACAGTTTCATGAGTTTGCGACCCTGGCACGTCCTGCTTGCTTGGCCCGCGTCTTGTGGGGTCATTTCATCAAATTCTCCGGCGACAATGCTGTCGGACATTACATTTCAAAGTAAACTTACCAAGACGAGTCCCACATGCAAAATCACACTTCTCATAAACAGAATTTTTAAATTTCCGGTGAAACTTGGAAACAAGAAACTCACCGGTCCCTTGTCCTGGTCACTCGAGAACTGCCTTCCCCTCGACACTTCCGCAATCTCTGCGTGCCCCAAGCCCCAACGACCTCAGCCCCGCCTCCTCCAACTTGCCCTGCTCCTCCAAGAGCATGGAAAGGGTGGTAGCCGAGACGAGCGTGCTGGGATGTTGCGGTCCTAGTTGGGACTCTTGGCCTTCCAAGGCTCGGCGGTGCAGCCCTTCAGCCTCGCGGCTCGAGATGGAGCGCTAAGGTGGTGAAACATGAGAAGAGAGCCCGGGCTCAGGCCCCATGGGTCATGGAAAGGGAAGAAAAAGCCAACAAAGGCCACAATTTTTGGACTATAGTGAGAACATACTATTCCAAGCGCTCGTCAAGCACTCTTTGAATTCACGGGATGCGAAGAAGCATCAATTTACTCAATTTACTCACAGTGTTTGCTCACATTGCTGGCACACATGATCGATGCATCAGCCAAAGCTCTATATGCATAGCCACTTTTTGCAAAACAATGTTGATCTACCCCGGCACAAAAATTTGCATGTACTGCTGTTATGATCCAACAACCCAGCTAAACAAGTTAAGTCCAATCAAAGCTTGGATTCCGGAGAAAAAGTTTCTAAATTGCTCCAGTGAAACTGGAAAAGCAGGAAAACTCACCAGGGCCCTTGTCCTGGCCAATCGAGAACTGCCTTCCCCCTCGACACTTCCGCAACCTCTGCGTGCCCCAAGCCCCAACGACCTCAGCCCGGCCTCCTCCAACTTGCCCTGCTCCTCCAAGAGAACGGCCAAGTTGTTAACCG